TAATGTTTGAAGGATCTTGTGAAGGAAGGCTTCTGGATAGGTTGAATGTAGAACAGAAATAACTCTGTACAGTTATATATTTTTGGAGGAGTTGGTTGGTGATGATTACAAAATACACCGTGGCTTATGGGTAAATTAAATCTAGAGACGGGAAAAGCACAATGGGCTCTTGGAGGATTTGGATTTAGAGATAGGAAGAGCACTACAGAGGCTCTTGGGGATATGGATGGAGAGATAGAAAGAACACTACAGAGGCTCTTTGGGGATATGGACGGAGCGATAGGAAGAACACTACAGAGGCTCTTGGGGATATGGACGGAGCGATAGGAAGAACACTACCGAGGCATTGAGGATATGGACGGAGCGATAGGAAGGAACACTTCAGAGGATCTTGGGGATATGGACGGAGCGATAGGAAGAACACTACAGAGGCTCTTGGGGATATGGACGGAGCGATAGGAAGAACACTACAGAGGCTCTTGGGGATATGGACGGAGCGATAGGAAGAACACTACAGAGGCTCTTGGGGATATGGACGGAGCGATAGGAAGAACACTACAGAGGCATTGAGGATATGGACGGAGCGATAGGAAGAACACTACAGAGGCTCTTGGGGATATGGATGGAGAGATAGGAAGAACACTACAGAGGCTCTTGGGGATATGGACGGAGCGATAGGAAGAACACTACAGAGGCTCTTGGTGATATGGACGGAGCGATAGGAAGAACACTACAGAGGCTCTTGGGGATATGGACGGAGCGATAGGAAGAACACTACAGAGGCTCTTGGGGATATGGACGGAGCGATAGGAAGAACACTACAGAGGCTCTTGGTGATATGGATGGAGCGATAGGAAGAACACTACAGAGGCTCTTGGGGATATGGATGGAGAGATAGGAAGAACACTACAGAGGCATTGAGGATATGGACGGAGCGATAGGAAGAACACTACAGAGGCTCTTGGGGATATGGATGGAGAGATAGGAAGAACAATACAGAGGCATTGAGGATATGGACGGAGCGATAGGAAGAACACTACAGAGGCTCTTGGGGATATGGATGGAGAGATAGGAAGAACACTACAGAGGCATTGAGGATATGGACGGAGCGATAGGAAGAACACTACAGAGGCTCTTGGGGATATGGACGGGGAGCTAGGAAGATCACTTCAGAGGCTCTTTGGGATATGGATGGAGAGATAGGAAGAACACTACAGAGCCTCTTGGGGATATGGACGGAGAGATAGGAAGAACACTACAGAGGTATTGAGGATATGGATGGAGAGATGGGAAGAACACTACCGAGGCTCTTTGGGATATGGATGGAGAGATAGAAAGAACACTACAGAGGTATTGAGGATATGGATGGAGAGATAGGAAGAACACCACAGAGGCTCTACACTATTTGGATGGAGAGACGGGAAAAACCCTAATGATTCCCTTGCGATTACGGGTCACGCCGGGTTCGATTCTTCACATGACGACAATTTTTCAAGCCCATTTCTTAGGAATATCGTCAAGGCGGGGTAAAAACCATACATACCCCACATTCTAATTTATCGCGTTGGGTAGCCTAATGGTAAATTCGAAGGATCGGGATCGACATGGGTGCGACGTGTTGGGCCCTGTATCCCCCCCAAGTCTCCACTTGCTGTAATGTCGCTTGTGTATTGCTCAGAGCGGCGTAAAACTACACTCATGCACTCACGCAGTGTTCGAACCCGATACCATCACATCAGACGTTTATCCTGAGTACATTTACACTTCAAAGACTACCTTGAATGACCTTCATATATTAGCCCTGGTACGCGATAACGTCCTTCACACGCCTCACGCTAGTGCATGGTGATTACAACTGATTAACCCAAGAGTGCTGGCAAACGTGAAGATTGACATAAGGGACGCGTCGACATTTTGACTCAAATGGGAGAGGCAAGATAAGGGCATTACAAAGTATATTTACTTGAGAAAACATGCATGTCATGTTTGTATTATGCTGCGAATTTTTTTAATTGGATTTGTTACGCAATGTGTTGATTCTCTGATGTTTTTAATTGAATATTTGGAAATTGGAATATGTTTTGTCCCCTTTACCCACTGACACACCCACTGACACACCCACTGACCCTGTAAACTATAAATAACCAGTTGACGTATCGGTCAGTCGTCGTCCATGCTAAATCAAAGCTATTTTACGACTATGTCCCAAATCTGTGTAATACAGTTATCTTGATGCCGTTCACATTCCAGCTGCATAGATCGGGTTATGGAAACCTGTTATGTTAAATATAAATTGATTGGAAGTTAAAACTCTACGACAATCCATAGTATATCTCCTTCTCCAATAGTCGTCCATATGTCTCCCCTTACCGTGATTATCCATGGTATATCTCCTTCTCCAGTGATCATCCATATTATATCTCCTTCTCAGTGATTATCATTGTGTCTCCCTTTACCGTGATTATCCATGGTATACTATGTAGTATCTCCTTCTCCAGTGATTATCATTATGTCTCCCTTTACCGAGATTATGAATATTATATCTCCTGTATATCTCCTTCTCCAGTGACTACCCATACTATATTTCATTCTCCAATGATTGTCCACGTCCCCCTTTACAGAGATTGTCCATTTTATATCTCCTTCTCCAGTGATTATCCATTCGTCTCCCATTGCTGTGATTATCCATATCATATCACCTCTTCCAGTAATTATTCACACACTTTCCTTTACTGAGATTATCCACATCATATATCCTTCTCCAATAATTACCAATGTGTCTGCATTTACCGAGATTATCCATATTATATATCCTTCCACAAGGGGCGGTGGGGTAGCGTAATGGTTCAAGCGTTGGCTCGTCACGCCGAAGACCCGGGTTCGAATCCCCACATGGGCACAATGTGTGAAGCCCATTTCTGGTGTCCCCCGCCGTGATGTTGCTGGAATATTGCTAAAAGCGGCGTAAAACCAAACTCAGTCAGTCAGTCAGTCCTTCCACAACGCTTAGCCATACGTCTCCCCTTACCGAAATTATCCATATTATATCTGGTTCTCCTATGATTATCATTATGTCTTCGTTTACCAAGATTATCCATATTATATATCCTTCTACAATGATTGGCTATACGTCTCCCCTTACCGAGATTATCCATAGTATATCTGGTTCTCCTGTGATTATCATTATGTCTCCCTTTAAGGAGATTATCTATATTATATCTGGTTCTCCTGTGATTATCATTATGTCTCCCTTTACCAAGATTATCCATAGTATATATGCATCTACAGTGCTTAGCCATACGTCTCCATTTGCCGAGATTATCCATGTTATCTCGCCCTCTGCCACGTTTATGCATATAAATTGTATATTATGATTATAATGTTATGTCTTCATCTCTTATGATTATCCACTCCAATAAAACAGAATTGCACTTATTGCCGTCAGTGAGTGAGTGAGTGAGTGAGTACGGTTTTACGCTCAATATTCCAGCAATATCGCTGCGGGGGACACCAGAAATGGGCTTCACACATTATGCTCATGTGAGGAATCGAACTCGGGTCTTCGGCGTGACGAGCCAACGCTTTAACCACTAGGCTACCCCACCGCCCCTTTTTGACGTCAGAAACAATGATTAAGATGGAATCCCCCCCTCACTCTAAAAGTATGAAAATGAACATGGAAATTAATAATTGATTTGCCTTTGCATGTGTTTGTGACAAGTACTTTCCTCTTCGCAAACAACTCACACATTTTACAATCATTGTCAACTTATGGGCTCTTATATGCATGGGTCCCAGTGGTCATGCAGCATCTTATGTATGCGTCTTCATAGTATATTCCCCCTTTATATTTTACATTTTGAATGGACCGCCTCCGTGGTGTAGTGGTTAGAGCGTCCGCCCGGAGAGCGGAAGGTCGCGGGTTCGATCCCCGACCGCGTCATACCAAAAGACGTTAAAATATGGTACTTGTTGGTCCCTGCCTGGCGCTCGGCATTAATGGGTACAACAAGGACTGGTCGGCTCGGAGTCAGTATAATGTGTCTGAGTGGGGTATTCATGCTTCACTGCGGCATGGTATCTCAGTGGGCTAGCACTATAAAACCAGCTTCAGTCTGGGCTAGTACAAGCAGCCGCACATACACATACACACGCATGCACGTCGTCATATGAGCGAAATATTCTCAAGCATGACGTAAAACCCAATTTCACCTCACCTCACCTCACATTTTGAATGTGTGTTTTATAATCCTTTTATACAATTCATCTTTAACAAATACATTTACAATATATGTATATTTAATTATCTTATGTACTTTTAATGCACTTTGTGATAAGCAATATATTGCTATTTTATGCAAATATCTTATGTCATTTCGTTCTACATCGTCTCTCATAACCCAATTTTGGGTGGCTGGCTGTAGCTATCAGTAAATTCTGTGTTTGTATTTTCATATTAAGAGGTGAGACGTGAAAAATGACACGTCCTTTAAACTAGTCGGGTTCTCTTTTTAGTGGCTTCTACTTCAGATTCGTCATGATTATGTACTTTAGTTTGTTTGCGACATGCAAGTGTTCGTGAGTTTTGCCAGTGTTGAAAACGCATTCACTTCCCGTCACTTCAGACTTTCTTAACACATGAAGCTGGGAATCCGAGACAGAAATGAAATACTGTTCAGAGTGAACACAAACACACACAAAAACACATCATATAGTATGACACCGTCTTCGCCAGCGAAACAACCGTGCTCTTGACGTCACCATAGCGGTTGACGTTTATGTCCGGAATAACCTTTTACGTTAACAAACAAAACATGCTTCGATATGACTGAAATTTTGTTAAAAACGACGTTTAGCGCAACTCATTCACTCATTCATGCCACTCTTTTCCAGTGGATCAGGCGATGTGCGATAAGGCAATATGGCCCATACGGGCCTCCGTAGATTTTGAGTCTGTATATTACCCGTTACGTGCGAAGGTAAGCGTGAATATTGTCAGACAACGCAAGCAAAGCTCTTGCTTGAGTTCTTAGTGGGCGTCTCATGAACCCCTCTTTGGTTACCACACCCAGGGGATCTTACATGGAATACTCGGTGGTGAACTTGGCGTTCAAGATTTTTGAGAATACTGAAGAGCGGGACCCCGGGGACCCGAAAGCACGTTTCTGGATCTGATAGGAATATGAGGATTATCACGGTAAGTGGACCAAGGATGTGATGTTATTGGTAATTAATCTTTTCTCGCGAGGATGAGAAGACAGATGATCCTGGTGTAAGTAATATGAATATTGAAAGGGTATATGACAGATATGTATCTATATATGCAATAATTTGTGGATTATCTGTTTATTTAATCGATTTATTGAAATTATTGATATTACGCGAGAATAATTGACGGAAGAAGAATTTCTTACTTATTTATTTTCATCGTGAATACTTTCTGAAGTAATGCCAACAAGTGGTGCATCAGTTCGTAACGGTATATATTTGTGATGTCACATTGCACATTGTGACACAGGAAATATGACATCACATTTGAAAAAGATCAAATTCCATATTTGAAATGCACTCTTCTAGTCGGTTTCTATTGTTTTCTGCACAAAAAGTGTTGCTTTGATTGGAATAATGTAGTTGACGCCGCTCCTTCATTAATGTTTCATTCGGCAGTGGTGCGGCATGGAAATCGGGTGTTTCAATCAGAAGTGGAATTGTGATGTACCCTATCTGAATGACCAATCATTGATATGATAAAAGCATTATGATAAACATAAACTGAAATAATAATCACCATACGTGTGCGTGTACGCGCGCGCGTGTTTTGACTGTGTAGGTGGGGCAGCTGTGTAGCGTTTGTTTTGTGTGTGTATATATAGATATATACTATCGAAAAACAAACCTACAAAGGTGACCGACCTACACAGTCACTCACGTCGTTTCCAATTCTGTTAAGCTGTTTTTGTTCTTTGTGAACATTCGGAGACACGCCAGAGCCATCGATGTCATTGTAAATCAGCATATCAGGATGTTGAATTTAATTATCTTTGATATAACACCAGATGAGGATAAATACTGCAGTAATTCACATTAAAGGCATTGAATCGTGTGTAAGTGTTGGTGTCAAGTTCCAAGATGAACAGTATTTCGTTTGTCCGGAAGAAATGAATGAACATGTTTAATGTTTAAGGAAGACACCAGACACTCTCCTCTTTTGTGTAACTTGTACACAGGAGAGACGTGTATTGTAATATGGTTGGTTACACACGCAGTGACGTCTCACTGCTCGATGTTTGCATAAAAATGACAACAAAAGACAAATGTGATGCCAACTTCTCCTTGTTGTTGAACAATATTCACAATTTCTGAAGTCCAGTTTGTTCTTTCCAAGAGGGGCGATTGGGTAGCCTCGTGGCTAAAGCGTTTGCTAGTCATGCCGAAGATCCGTGTTCGATTCTCCACATGGGTACAATGTGTGAAGCCCATTTGTGGTGTTCCCCGCCGTGATATTGCTGGGATATTGCTAAAAGCGGCGTAAAACTAAACTCACTCACTCACTCTTTCAAAGTATATTTAATGAGCGTCATCCACGGCTTCAGTAAAGCTGTCAAAATGTTTAACGGAAGACGTAGTACCAAACTTATGATAATAATAATATGATGTCCGATACAATTCTCTGTGTTGACTTTAACCGTTATGTTCTAGTGTTTGTTCTGGTGAATAATTGACTTGCCTTTAAAAGTGTTTGTAACCTATGGCACCATCACTAAATGACCTGCTTCTAACAATTGTCTTATGGTGTAATATGTAATAACTTTTGTCACAAATAAATTTAACAATATTCTCTCATTAACCTAAAGTTTGGATTCATTTGTTATCCAAGTTGGAATGCCCGAAATCGGGAAGTCAATATTCAAATAACAAAGGCGAGTACACCATGTGTCCATACGGCATAGCCCTTGATAGTATCAAGGGGTCAAGGTCAACGGAATATATCCTGGTTCCGTAGGAGTGTATGAGTACTTGTTTGATCCAGTTGTACTGATTCACTACAATCAGGGTTGAACGTTATCTCGCTGCCTCTCACAAGGCGTGAATTTCACTATCAGTCAGCCCGAAGGCGGGTGTTTCACATTATCTGATGCCATGACGAAATGTGACACTCATGCAGCACGTATCACGGTCACCCGGGAAGGTCTACAACGTAGCTGCGCGGGCAAACAGTGTAATGCGTACCCGGTTCAGATTTGTTTGATTAGGGGATTACGTCAGACAGGGACTTATTAAAGCTTTCAGAAAGTTATTTATAACAAATGTCGAGGACATTTCCAAATCTAAACTTGACGCAGTGACCATATAATTTCCGATGCAACTTCCCCTTTTGTACGGTATGTTATTTTCTGGTAAACACTTGACTTGCCTCTGAATGTGTTTGTGACGTATTTATGTTTGTTGTTTCACGCCATATAGCAATATTCCAGCTATATGGCTGCGGGGTATCTTCCCAAAAGACAGACTGCTTAAAACAACACAGTATAAGGCTTAATTAAGCTGTACCCTTGATAATAATGGTAAGTGCCCAGATGAAAAGACAACATTAGGTATAAACTATAGTTTTATCAATTCATGTAATGAATTATGATTTTTAAATTAAGACAAATTGCATCAACATATATTTGCCAGATCACATTTACTTGTGAATATTATCAAAAACACTTCTTTTTTTTCTGAACCTATCAAACATATGAGACCAAGCACCGTATTATTTTACGACTGCTGTCCGTAAATAATGGAGTCTTGATCAGACAATCCAGTGATCAACATAACTGATGGAGCAGGAAGCGCTCACCGTTTTGCGATCACCACATATCAGAACTATTTGATATTAAATCATAAACGTGTCTTTATAATAACAGTCGAAATCGAACAGTGGAATCGTCCTTTAGCAGGGATCCCATAATGATATAATTTGTTCCTTTTAATGAATTACATGTGTAGTCGCATACACATACATGGCAAACATGCAAAAGAACGTTTCAAGGTACAAGATTAAAAGGTACTTCAGTGCATTTCAGTTTAATGGTGAAAGTAATGGATGTACGCACTAGACTTTTACCAAGTCACGATCCGTGATAAATGGGGCGCGCCTAGTGGTTAAAGCGTTCGCTCGTTACGCCAAGTTCTATTTCACACATGGATACAATGTGTGAAGCCCATTTCTTGTGTCCCCTGCCAGGGAGGGGCGTAGCTGCCATTATAAAAACGAGCCCGGGCTTACACCTGATTGTTGCTAAAAAGGTTGGGCAAGCCCTCAATACTATTTAAATATAAAGCTTTGCAACATGTCGGGCTTACAAGAAAAAAAAGGCGCCTGCCTGCCGTGATATTGCTGGAATATTGCTGAAAACGCCGCAAACTATACTCACTCAAGGCCCGATAAAACATAGTGACGTCATTCCAGGCTATTCGTCTCACATTGTCCATCCGATCCCTTTTCTAGGTACCTTGTTCGATAACCGAAAACATAATTACCGATATCTGTAGGACGTTAACCTAAGAAACACGTGGGCTACATCCGGCCTTAAATCGGGGTATCTCAAACACTTCCCAATATTCCCAAGCCTTGTGTACACTATTCAATAACCTGCACAGGAAACAGCTGATTCTACTCAATCACATCGCTGCTATGTAACCCCGGTATTTACTTCCTTCACTCGGTCAGTTTGCACCGCATCTACTACAGAAAGTTTACATGTGTGTAGAGATGTCCCAAGCACGTGCGATCACCCCCGTGGCTCACTAAATAGGTACTGAGTGGAATATTTCAAAGACGTAATCGGTGGGGCTGGCTATTTTGAGTTGCACAGGGGCGTGTCACGCTTAGAAACAGCGTTAGAAAGACATATAGGTATAAAGACCCTACCCTATAAAGACCCTTCATACCTATATGTCTTTCTAACGTTAGTTTCTAAGCGTGACACGCCCCTGTGTTGAGTTGTACATATGTTCCTGTATTTTCGTCGGGGTGGCATGCCGTCAACGTTCTCCTAACATCTGGAATCATAGCAGGTGATGTGGGGTAGCCTTGTGGTTAAAGTGTTCACTGGTCACGCCGAAGACCCAGTTTCGTTTCACCACATGGGTAAAATGTGCTTGAATATTGCTAAAAGCGGCGTAAAACCATACTCACTCACTCAGTAATCAATAGCATAACTATTTGATAGTGATTCGTAAACACATATTTATGATAAAGTAAAAATCCTACACTATCCTATCTAAAAACCATTGTATAAGGCTTTGCAACCTTCCTGTTAAAAATCCGTCCTTGAATTTCACCTGTGAGCGTTTCTTTTCGCAGAGATAGGGCTGAGTATTCCCATGCTACATATAGGGCTCACTCGTGACAGTCATTCTCATATCATTAACATACAGTACCTATTTGGTGAGGGGAGTTTTGGGCTCTGTTCCAGTTACATTACATTTCGCATATTCAGTGATCCATTTATAAACTTTATGTCGCTCTTTGCGTTTTACGCCCAGTGGAATTTATTGCGGCAGATGACGATGAAGCTCTGGCGTTTGACTTTTTATAATCATTAATCACGGACAATACATTTTATGCTATGTTTCATGTAATTGACTCAAGCAGCGTTACAGGAAGTCCGGTAGACTCGAGATGACCATTTCTGATGACAAATCCCTTTGTTACAAAGCTTGAGTAATACGTACTCTTTCTTACCCTTTTACCAAGGGTGGGGTAGCATAGTGGTTAAAGCGTTTGCTCGTCATGTCGAAGACCCAATTGGTACAATGTATGAAGCCAATTTCTGGTGACCCGTGAGGGGCGACGGGTAGCCTTGTGGTCAAGCGTTCACTTGTCACGCCAAAGACCCGGGTTCGATTCCCAACATGGGTACACTGTGTGAAGCCGATTTCTGGTGCCCAGCTCCGTCATAATGCTGAACAATTGCTAAAAGCGGCGAAAAACCATACTCACTCACTCCCCTGCCGTGATGTTGCCAGAAGCTTGCTTAAAGCGGCCTAAGACAATACTCGCACACCCACCCCTTCCTCCCCGTGTGTTACGACACGTTCTGAAGACGTGCTGACGTTCATGTAGAATGTACGTGGACAGTAGATAACCACAAGCTTACCCTGAGTATGTAGAGGCATGTATGGTTTATTGGCCAAAATCTTAAGATA